CCCGAGACTTCCCAGGTCATCGGTCGCTCCGCTCCAACACGGCCGATATAGCTGAAGATGGCCTCCTAGATGCCTCCAAGACGTCTAATGCGGCCCCAAGAGAGCCCAAGATGGCCACAAAATGTCACTAAGACGGCCCAAGATGCACCCACGATGGCCGCAAGATACTGTAGCCCAAGACGGCCCGAAAGGCCCCCAAGAGGCCTCCGAGAGAGCCTCCGGGACAACTCGAAGGTCTTTCCTCCTCTTCTTCATTCTCCCCCACATGTTCCCAGAAACATTTCCACAACGGCTGGGAGAACACATGATCCTGTGGCTTGGCCGAGCTCTGGCCACAACGTTCGGCCACATAGGCGCTTCCAGAAGGCAGGGGGCGACGGTGATTCGCCATAGGCGTCCTCGATAGCACACATGCTAAGGCGAAAGCAAGCTGCCCCTCAACCCACGAATCTGGCAAGATCGTCGAACATCCATCATCGTTGCCATCATCCTTCTCCCCTCTGTCTCCCCATTGTCCTTCTCCCATGTCGTCCTCATCCTCCTCGTCCTGACCCCCTCTTCCGCCTCCTCCTCCTCCCTGTCCTGGTCGAATGTGTTGAACGCCTCGCGGCACTTCTGGATGAACTCCTCGTTCAGCACCATGGGCGGTGCGTGCAGGGCAGACCGGCAAACGCCAGCCCGACTGCGGAGTTGGACACCGACGGAAGCCTGCAAACGCCTGGGCCTACACGTCTGCACTCGAGCGGCCGGGGGCGACCTGCGGCAGGCAGCCACATCGCAGTTTCTTTCTGCGCGGTGCCCGAATACGGCGCGCCAGCGCACCAGGACGACGTAGCGGCTGGCAGATGGATGCAAAGCGGACCGTAGTCGGGCCAGTGCCGAGGCCGATGCCCAGCTTGCTCGTGCCCCAGTAGGGGGGAAGGGCATCGTGCCACGCGACGAGGAAACAACTAATAGACAAGCGCGCTCCACGACTCGCAAGGTAACTACTCACAAATGGCCTCGATCCGCCGCGAGGGATTCACGATACACTACGTCGAGGCAACAAACCATTCTTCGGGCGTTTGCGAGTAGGCACTTTGCGAGTAGTGGAACGCGCTCGGTGAGCGAAGGGCCGAGCGGTGGAGGGGCGGAGCGGTGCTCGCACGGCCGGGAGGCCAGCCGGAAGAGGCCAGGAGTGCGAAGGACTCCGGCTGCAGTGGCGAAGCAGCGGGCTCGGGGGGACGTCGGAAAGAGAAGGGAGAGGAGCAACAAAGAAGGAGCCAGCGCAGCCTGTCCACCTCAATAGGCGAAGCCACCTCTCCACCCCCAGCCCCACCATCCTCCCACCAAGTTTGCGCAACGGGGAAGACCACAGAGCCACACCAATGCCAATGCCGCGGTAAATTGTCGTTTCTCGAAGAGGGAGCCTGACGGGACAAAAATACGCGAAGCCGGGCAGAAGGGGGGGGAAGGAGGAGGGAATTGAGAGGGAGGAAGAAGAGAGGACATCGACCCTGCGACGTGCCCAACCCCCGTGTGTCACAAGTGAGCGGGATAGTCGGCCAAACTGTAACGGATGACGGCATAAGAAAGATCGCCATGTGATGTGTAAGCTACGTGGGAGGCTCGCGCGTTGCACGACTCTTTGGACAAGATGATGTCTTCAGGTTCAACTCTGAAATTTTGTCCGACCGCGTCCAGCACTAGCGACGATTTCCACCCCCGAGGGAAAACATGGAATTGCTCCCTCCATCTGGAGCTCTATCTAAACTATCCCTGTCTACCATCATCAAACTACCAGCTGCTCTGCACTACCTCCAAGCATCCCCCGACCTCACCCTTCCTCCCCTCCCCCATTCCCCTCCTGCCCCATCTCCTCCCACCACTTTCTCCTCCGCCTCATCCTGCCCCCTCCTGATATTCCTGCTCCTCCTCCTCCTCCTCCGCCTCCTCCTCACCATCATCATCAACAACATCAGCATCGCCATCCTCACCACCGTCACTACCATCATCGGCATCATCACCACCAGCACCAACGTCACTACAAACACCAGCAACGCGCTATACATCCTAATCCGCAGCACCATCCTTATAAGATCAAGCATACCGTCGCCATCATCATAAACGTCGTCATTGGCAGCATCAACATCATCACCAACAGTACCCTCACAGATAATACACTTGCAATACTAATCATAAACCAAAGGATGACCATACCCATCAGCAACAACAGCATCAGCAGCATCAGATTCAGCAGCACAATCATCAACATCATCATCATAGGCAGTATCATCGCCGTCGCCACCATTATCATACTCATCAGCAGAATCACCTACATCATCGCCCTTCTCATCATCACCAGCAGCATCATCATAATCAGCAGCATCATCCTCAACAGCATCACCAACACCATCATCATCATCAGCAGCATCATCAACATCATCACCATCCTCGACACCACCAACATCATCATCATTAAAAGCATCAGCATCAGCATTAGTACTATCATCTGTATCAGCATCATCGTCGTAATCGGTATCGTAACCATACTCATCATCATCATCAGCAGCAGCATCAGCAGCAACATCATCATCATCATCCTCATCATCGTCATCATCACCACCATCATCATCATCATCATCATCATCAGCATCATCATCATCATCATCATCATCAGCATAATCATCATCATCATCATCATCAGCAGCAGCATCTTCATCATCATCATCATCATCATCGGCAGCAGCATCAGCAAAGCAGCAACAGCATCAGCATCATCAGCATCAGCATCATCAGCAGCATCAGCATCAGCATCAGCATCAGCATCAACATCAACATCAACATCACCATCGCCAGCATCAATACTTAGCATCAGCAACATCATCCGCCACCGTGCCTGCGGCACGTCGAGGCGCGGAAGCATGCCGAGGGCTGCCTGGCAGAGTGCCTTTAGCCGTCCAAGGGACCCCCCCACCCCCCCCAGCCACGCTTCCCCGATTGCATCGCCCCTCTTACCGGGGGGGGGCACTGGGCGGCCACGGCGGCTCCCTTGGGGCTCTCCAAGGCTTCCACGGCGGCACGGCAGGCACTCAAGACGGTCCCAGCGGGCCCCGAGTCGCCGAAAGATCGCCCGAAGACAGCCAAGATGGCCTCCAGGTGGCCCGGCAGGCCTCCATGACGCCCCGCGAGGCCTCCAAGAGGCCTCCTAAAAGGGCCCCAAGAGGCAAAACTCATTGAGGTTCCCTAAGTTGTTGAAGGATTTTGGCGTTCTCGCCTTTTCGGCTTCCCGACGCTCCAAAACGGCCCAAGAGGCCCCCAAGACCACCCAAAAATGGCCCGAGAGGCCTCCAAGACGGCCTAAGAGCGCCCCAAGACGGCCCAAGAGGCGCCCAAGACGGCCCAAGAGGACCCCAGGACGGCCCCAAAAGGGGCCCAAGAGAGGGAGCACGAACTGAAAATCCTAGCTTTTCGCCCCAAGAGGCCCCAGGAGGCCCCAACAGGCACGCAGGAGGCCAGAAGAGGCCCCCAAGAGGCCCAAAAGAGGCCCCAAGAGGCCTCAAAACCGCCCCTGAGAGGCCTCAAAACTGCCTCTTCGAGGCCCCAAGGAGGCCTCCCACGAGAACCCCGCAAACATCCTATAGGCTTCGTACTGCAGCCCGGGCACGGTGGGGGGGCCTTGCAGCAGACAGCTGGATCAACATCATCATCAGCATCAGCATCAGCATCAGCATCAGCATCAGCATCAACATCATCATTATCCTCATCATCATCATCATCATCATCATCATCATCATCATCATCCTCATCATCATCATCATCATCATCATCAGCAGCAGCAGCAGCAGCATCATCATCAGCAGCAGCAGCATCATCAGCATCAGCAGCATCATCAGCAGCATCATCAGCAGCAGCACCATCATCAGCAGCATCAGCAACATCATCATCATCATCATCATCATCATCATCATCAGCAGCATCATCATCACCATCATCATCACCATCACCATCACCATCACCATCACCATCATCATAACCATCATCATCATCATCATCAGCAGCAGCATGGTAATGGCCACCACTTCCACCATCAACATCATCATCATCAGCATCATCATCACCATAATCATCATCAACATTATCCTCATCACCATCATCATCATCATCAGCAGCAGCATCATCATCATCATTAAAAACATCAGCATCATCATCATCGACATCAGCATCATCATCACCCCACCACCACCACCACCACCATCATCATCATCATCATCGTCATCGTCATCATCATAATCAGCATCATCAGCATCCTCATCAGCATCAGCATCCTCACCATCATCGTCATAAGCATGAACGTCATCATCATCATCAGCTGCAGCATCATCATCGTCATCATCATCCCCCGCCCCTTCTCATTCCCCGTAACTACCCCCAATCGTCCCCCTCTGCAGCACCCTCCAGAGGTCCCTCACACTACCGCCTCCTCCTCCTCCTCCTCCTCGTCCTCCTCCTCCTCCTCTTCGTCCTCCTCCTCCTGCTCCCCCTCCCTCATCCATACTCCCTCCGCATCCTGGTCATCCTGCTCATCGTCCTGCACATCTTCCTGCCGCGTGCCCCCCCCGTCACTCCTCCTCAGAATCTCTCATCCTTCTCCTCATCCTCCTCCTCCTGTTCCTCCTCCTCCTCTTCTCTCCTCGTCCCCCTCCTTTCTCATCCTCCTCGTCCTCCTCCTCCCGCCTTCTCCATCGTACTCCCTCTTTCTTCTCGTCCTCCTCCTTTCCCCTCGCTGACGTTGCCACACGGCCAAGCTTGCACACTCACACTCATGCAGACCTCCTCCTCCCCCGCGCTCCACGACAGGAAAGAGGAGCAGCAACAGGAGCCCCGCACCGTATCGGACATTGGCGGGACCAGGCTCGGTGGGACCCCGTTTGGTGATGTGTACCGGGGGACGCCGGCCTCCCCCCCAGCTCCACGAACCGGAACTGAAAACTGCCGTCACCCGAAGAAGCACACGCTACGGCAGCCTTTGTTCGGTGACCCCGGTCCACTTCGTGGGCTTCGGGTCCCCATCACTGACGGGCTCTCCTTTTCCGGGGGTCCTGGCGGTATCCGGCGCGAGCAGCCAGGGGCCGAAGAGGCCTCAGCCGCCCGCGAAGCCCGGGGTGCGCACGGACGCCGCCATGGCACCCCGCCGCCGCCCAGCCCCGCCCGTCTCCCCTGGGACGAGGTTCCCGCTGGCTGCCAGCGCCCGCCCGGGAAGGCCGGCTCGCGAGGGGCGAGGTCTCAAACCGGGAATGCCACTGACCAGCTTGGCTGGCCCGATGCGCATCACGCAACACGTGGCGTGCTGACACGCAGCTCAACACGCGAACTGGAAGCGTGGGTCAGGCGCGGTGCGTTCGCCGAAACGTGGGCCAGCACGCCGAGCCAACACGCAGCGTGTTCAACCATGAACGTTTCGAACACGGTGCGCGTTGCGTTTCAGCCACGTGTGCATCAGGGCAGCTGAGCTGGCGAGGCTTCCCCTGAGGGATGCAGCGCCTGAGGCAGGTCTCGGTCTCCTGGCCCTGCCTCCACCGGTCTGGCTCCAAGCGCACGTCGACCTCCATGATGGGTCGCTGTGTGCTCTGCATCCTGGTCCAGGCTGTCCGTCTCCACCAGCTTGGCGCCCAGCCCGGCTACGCGGCCCTGCTGGCGCGCGCTGAGTGCACGGAGGACCGCAGGGTTGTCGAGCACGGCCTCGACTGGCTTCCAGTCGGCCTGGCCTGCGTCCACAGCCAACTGGGCCGCGCGGCACAGAGAGCGCTGCGGCCCTGCCCGAGTCGCTGGCGGTGGCGATCAGGACGAGAACGAGCTCGAAGGCTCTCCTGGAGAGGGCGGCGGCAGCGCGAGAAGCCGTGCAACTGCAGAAACTCCGCGACCTCCCCCTGGCCGCCCCGCCCCGATCGCTGGGCCTTCAGGAGGAGCGGAGGTCTGTGCGGACGCAGCCTTCGGCAAAATAGGCTGCGGGCACGGCCCCGACCTCTGCCGCCGTCTCGCCAAAATAGCTTCGCGACAGCACCACGGCCCTGGCCGATGCGAGCAGGAAGTACGCCGCGTACGAGTCCATGAAGCCGTGCAGGGCCAGGTGAGCGTTCGATCGGTCGACGTGGGCAATGCGCCAACCATCGAGGAGCACCACGACCTTCCCATCCCGCCGCAGCTGCTCCACGCGGTCCGTGCGCAGGGCGGCCTCGGTGTCCGCGCTGAGGAACCACTTCGTCTCCGCCGGCAGGCCGAGCTCCCTCTCCGCGATCCTGGCGCAGTCGAGGAACACGTCCAGGCTGGACAGCGCGTGGCGGCCCGGATCCCACCAAAGGCGCGCGGACTCGTTCCCGGCGCGGAAGTGGATGCCCAGGTAACCTCCAGCGGCCGGCGATCCCGCGGCGGAGTCCCATGGCAAGGGCTCGTCGAGCTGCAGCTCCTGCTGCGCTGCGCGCAGGCGCGCCCGCAAAGGGGGCGCGGGCTCGAACAGCGTAGCCCAGAGGCGCGCGTAGAGGTCTGGCCGCTGCCGCAGACCGAGCTCCTGGGCACGACGCCGAAGCAGCGGGTGGCCCAGCAGCGCGCCGGCCTCGCGGTGGTTCATCGACAGCAGCAAGGTGCTGCTCGCGTCGCGCACCAGCCAGCTCACGTCCACCTGGAACCCGACCCGGTCGTCCAGATAGAAATTGTGGCTGGCAACACCCACCGCCCCTCCCTGCAGGCGCCAGTCCAGCAGAAACTCGCCGTCCTCGCCCCGCCGTGGCTGCAGCGCGGTGCCCAGCGGCACGGGCGAGTCGAGGTCAATGAAAAAGGCACGGGAGGTGAGGACCGCAAGCAGGAAGGCCGTGAGGATACCATTTGTCCGGTCGCCGTGTCCTCCACAAAGCTCCAGAGGATTGCACACATAGACCAAGGCCCGCGGCATCTCTGGGCCTCCGTCCCGCCAGGCGCGCACCGCCCGCCTGTGCCACGCGAGGTACCTCTGCAGGCCCGCTGTAGCCCAGGTCGCGCCCGACGCCGCGGCGGCGCGGCCCTGCTGTGCGCCCTCTGCCTGTGCTGCTGCCGCGTCCACGCGCGTCATCCCGGCCGAGAGCGCAGGCGGCGACAGCGGGTGCGCGACAGAGTGGTGCAGTGACCAGAGGGCGCCCGCGGCCACGCCGGAGCTGCCGGCAAGTGCCCCGGCGCTGCAGGCAGGCGAGCCGCCCGCGTCGCCGCGGAGGTCGCCCACCAGCGCCCCGCGACCCCCCACCCCACCGCCCAGGTGCAGGCACGCGACGCGGCGGTTGTCCAGTGTGTTCTGGTGGCGCCTCCAGACCACGGCGGCGCGCGGAGCGCCAGGGCGGCTGCCCTCCGCGGTGCCCTGCGCTCTCCGCACTCGCCGTGCCAGCCGCGCTGCGTGCACGGGGCGCTCCGCGGTGACCCAGGGGTCGCGGATCGAGTCCTCGAGCCACAGCACCTGCGTGCCGTCGGTGGTGTTCAGCAGCTGCTCCGCGCTGGCCCACGCCCGCTCCACCTCGACCTCGCAGGTGCGGTTGGAGACGAGCAAGACCAAAGCCGTGTCGTCACATGAGCGGCCTTGGGACGCACCGCACGCGCCGGCCTCGTCGGCAGGCAGGGCTGGCGCGGCATCCCAGTGATTCGGCCATCTCCACGGCTCTCGTGGTTCAGTCAGCAGGCGGTGGTCCCAGAAGGTGCCGCTGGCAGGCCCCTCCCTCGCCATGGGCTCGAAGCTCGACGTGATCATCTTCATCTGGTGCGCAAGCTTCGCAGGCAAGCGCGACAGGGCGAGCGCGGCTCTGTCAACCCACCCGTTCCACGCGTGGACGCTGCCAGAGGCGCGCACGAACGGATAGCCGAGCGCGTACACTGTCTCCTCGGGGATTTACTGACCCGGGTCAACGCAAACCCTGGGCCAGTCAGGCTTTACAGGATCCTGCAAGATCCTGCAGGATACTGCACGCAAGCCCCAGTAAATGCAACCCTGGCTCCGCAGGATCCTGCAAGATCCGGCGCTCTGACTGGTCCCCGTTTGCATTGACCCCCGTCTCAAGGCCCCCGATCTCCTCCAGTGTGGCTGCAGGCGCCATTACTCCAGCGGTCAGGGCCAGAAGCGGTGCCGGCAGGCACGCGTTGGCATCCTGCGACACCAGGCGGAGGTCCAGGGCGGCGAGCGACCTCGCCTCGCCTCCGAGCCTGAGCAGCAGAGCCGCGAGCCGCCGCACGGACAATCGCAGCGCGCGCTCTGTCGAAGCCAGCGTCTGCTGCCGCCGCGGCAGCAAGCAGTGCAGGCGGAGGGTGAGCGCAGCGACCCGCCTCGCCAGCCCGAAGCCCTCCCGCGCCAGCTCCGAAGACCGCTGGTGCGCCGCCACCCTGGCCTGCAGTGCCCCGCCCACGACCTCCCGGCATGACCAACCCTGGGACTCCATGCGCGACACGGTGTTCGCCACGGCCGCGGTGAAACCCTTCTGATCATCCAGGGAGCGAGCCTTGTTGTCCAGCATGGTCCGAACATGGCTCCGCAATCGGTTGGCCACCTTCTGGGCCACCGTGCCGAGGAACAACCAGGCATGCCATCTAACTGCCAGGTGTCTCCCCAGTGCAAAATAAGGAAAGCAGCACATTGCATAAAAAGTGTTCGAAAATCCGTGCGGAATCCGGCGCTGGAACCCCCGCCTGGAGCGCGGAGCGCGCCAGAGGCGGCGCCAGAGTCTGCGCCGCCAGGGGGGTCCAGCGCTGATCCAAGAAGCCCGCACGGACCTTCGAAAATTTATACTCATGCCGCTGTTCTCCTGCTGCACCCGGGGCATGCCTGGCTCGACCTGGGCACCCCTGGGCCCTGGTGGGGACGGCCGACCGGCCACGGACGATAGTGGAGGACCGTGTCCACCTTGTCCGTGCTGCAGCAGGTGGCGTCGGCGCGGAGTCCGGGACGGCGCCCGAGGCGCCGCCAGACGCCCGGCGAGTCGGCCCAGCCGTCCCGCCGGGCGGCCCGCCAGAACCGCGGCGTCGCCCAGCACTGCAGCAGCGCCGGGAGCGCCCCGCGCTCGCGCGGCGCGCCGCGGCGGGCCAGCGCCCCCGCAGGGGCGCACGCCCACAGCAGGAGCAGGAGCATCAT